TTAGGGTAAAGTTGAATAAGGGATTCAGGTTTGGGTGGTTAGGCTTTATGGTTGGGATTAATCATTCATATTTAGTGTTTAGGGTTGGTTCTTTAGTTGAGGATTTGTGTGAAGTTGGTTGTTTTATGGTTAGGTTTGGAGTTATGATTTAGGATTGATTGGGTTAACGAGTTAGGTTCAGGATCTAGAGATGGGGTTGGGATTTCAATTTTAGCTTGGAAAATGGGCTAGGTTTAGAGTTATGATGATTAGTGTTAGATTTAGTGTCAGGGTTAGTTTTACGGGTTAAATTAATGGATTAAGGCACTACCAGATAGAGTAGGCAGAGGTGCTGATTTTTATTTTAACCCCTAATGTTATTGTTTTGTGTTGGGTTGGGCTTTATAGCATTGGCCTTAGGTTTTGGCTAACAATCTTTCATTATTTTGTTTTAAGAAAAAAAATTAAAAAATCACCCCTTCACACCTCCAACAGAATCCCCCCAACCCCCACCCCCGCCATGCAGTTTGTGTGTATGGCTGTCTGTAGAAGTGTGGTGAAGCTGACATACAAGGTCACTTCTTGGCTACCTGCTGACCAGCCAGCGCAGAAGAAGTTAGCATATCAGGCCTATTCAATCAGACATCCTGCCAAAAGAGGCGTTAATCTCTTGATCCCTAAGGCTCAAGACAGCCAGCCGCACGGTCAAGACAACTCTGGCAGGCCCCGACGCCCTTCAACACTTAGAACAGCGATTCAACATTTCTTAGGGTTCTTCAAAGACCAACTTGTCCTTGGGGTTTTGTCTTAATATGCTACCAAATTTGAGCCACCACGTATATTATACCGTGCCATGTACAGTAGGTTAGAAGTTTCGATTTTAGGGTCATTTTGTTGATTCATCAGGGACCTTCAAAGACTAACTTGTCCTAGAGATTCAAATATGAACTACATATCCTTGAGATGGATACTCAATTGCAAAATGTTTTAGTGTCTGTCATTACTTGCCAGTGTAAGTTGATGGCAGAATTTGATGACTTGCCATTGTTAAAAAAAAATCAAAAAACAAACCATTTTGTATTAAAGCGGGACTAGCTTGAATTGGGTCAGGTTTTAGTTTGAGGTTTAGTCATAGGGCCAGTTTGTTGGGTTGAGGTTATTGGTTGGAGGCTAGGCTTTTGGTTTAATGTTTGGGTTAGGACATTTTAGACTCATTTTGTCTGTTTTCAGGGGCCCTTAAAAAATAAGCATGAAGTTCGGTCTGATTGGCACCAAATTTGAGCCACTTATACTGGAGCAGTGATTTGCAACCACCATAAAAATGATCGTCATGTGTATCTAATTTCAAAAGAAATGTATTAGAATTTGTTATTACATTTGTTATAGCTATCCCAGCGAACTTTCGTGACAGGCAGAACAATCTGTGAATCCACCTGCCGCATTCAGACAACAGAAAAATTGTTTTGTGTTCAACTAAACAGACCTAGAGTTCCGATTTGTAAAACAAGATTATTTCAGTGTATTTACTTTTTGGGACAGTTTTCTTGTGATGTGCCGTGAGATTTGTTCTTAAAATGTGTGCCATGGGTTGAGAAATAATTTACTTGACAGATGGGCAACGCTAAATTGCGAAACATTATAATTTCCGTCATTGTGTAATGGCAAAATTTGATGACTCACCATAAATCACCTACCCTTCTGTTTGCGGTTTTAATTTTACAATCAAACCATAAAATATATAATGTGTACTCTCCAGCCTAGTGGAAAAGGGTCTCGACTCGCCCTCACACATCACTGGATGCTCGCATTAGCCGCTCGTGGCCGTAATGGACATCTCGCAGTGATTCTCTGGTACAGTAGCCAGGCGCTAAATACATTGAGAGGCAGCCCCGCGCTTGCCTACCCGCTGATCTAGGTCATTAGGTCTGCAGTGTAATTTAAGGAGCGCCACATCTGCTCACATGTCGACCGGAGCTAGCTAGTGAGTGAGCTCTGCGGCTCCAGCATTAACACCTGGCTTTATACAACCCTCGCCGGACCCACCCCGTGACAGCTGATTGGACACATGCATTTGCCAGACAAACCATGGGAGCGCATTTCAGCCTCCGCAAAGGTAGGGCGCTTATCGTGTATTATTTCTAGATGTTACCATCAGATCAATCAAGGCTAACGATTGTCCGAGCGTAGCGTAGTTTCCGTCGCGTGCCGTCCAAGAGTGGAGGTCAATGGACCACATGCTTACCGAGCGATCGTTCGCCGGCTTATTGACCCACAGACGGATGACCTAAATGAGTGCAGAGAAAGGATTAAATGTTTTATTATCCTCTTTACCAATGGGGGATGGTCCCGTGGTTGATGGGGCTTTCACTGTGATTGTGGAAACCACACAAGGGGGATGTAATTATTGGTGAGTTGGGAAAAATTCTAATCGACCGGCACCGTGCGACCAGTCTTTCTAACTAGTTTAGATATCTACTTTCTGTGTGATGTCAGCCACTAACAACCAACAACTTAAAGGGATGCTACTCATTTGCGAGTTGTACGCAGATACTCGTCTGAAAAAAGTCGGAGTGCTGATGCAACTCCTGTTAAAGTAAAAAAAAAAAAAACACACACACACTAAATTTTACAGAAAGTGCAATATGAAAATGGATGTTTACTGTCAATATTCTACCATACCTATTTTGAAAATTATTCACAATGAAAATGTGTTTTTCTGCAATCGATTCAGATAATGCTAACTCCAACTGAAGGCTTTGAAAGCTTAATTACGTTAAAATTATTATTTTTTTCGGACTAAATAAATCTCAATGGCGTTCAGGTTTTTTTCCCCTGCTGTATAGATTCATAAAAGCGTAACTACCAATGACGAATACAGGCCGTGTGATTGACATTTGCCTGGTCTTTGATTTGCATTCATCTTGTACCACTGCAAACATTTTTGCGTGTAGAACACATCATTCTAATACCACCGTTAACTTGACAGAATTTCAATTTACAAACGCTGGAAATGCTGTGCATCCGCTTGGGACGTTCCCTCATTAAAGCCAGCGGGTGGCTAACAAGCTAACATACACTATCATCGCCTTGAAAAAAGCTCTGGTCTAATTACACAATTTTTTTCCAAGAGGATGATTATGAAATGTAAAATAGTTAAAAAAAAAAAAAAAACACCAGTGTAAATTTCAAATGCTGGGTCGACAAAAACACCACACAATTTCTTCTATATATTTAAAAGGAAGTCATGTTTATCTAATTTGTATAGAGTACATGTGATCAAACAGTCAAAGTAGTTCATCGGGTCAGTGCATATAAATATTTCACACTGCCCGATGTTATATTTACCCGACTTAGAGATGATACCCAGTTGGCAGGCCGGCTGCGCATCTGGCAGTGTGGCGCACCATCAATATTACATCTGTGCACCACCCGCCGTTCCAAATGTGGCGCACCGGGAAGTGGGTCGACCCCCGTTGGTCAATTTCCTGAGAGTAAATACGTACATCTGAGTGCCATGCTAAATCTCCCAAATGAACAAGAAAATTGACAGGGAATCTTTGTGTTTTGTGAGGGGGGGGATCTGAAAATGTGTGTCATACTTGCAATTTCCTTGCCCAGGTGCACTCTGGCGCATTTCTTCGAGGCAAATTGAGAACGCTATCGAGAGAGTCATCTCCGGTGCACTGGAGGTTGGCTGTGATTGCTGGGTGTCAAAAAAATTGCCTTGCTTTTTAATTATCTGGCTGGCTGCACTCACCAAATTGGTGGAGCAGAGAGGGGTCCGTCCTTGGCCAAAATCTTTCCTCGAGCCACCGTCTTCCTCATCTGCTCCACTTCACCCGGATCGCCTCTGGTCAAGCGTGCCGTTGTTATTGTTATTAGCGCCAAGACACTTTTGTGCTCTTGTGAGCAATGTCTAATACATGGGCTGAACTACCGTTTGTCATCAACCATGAGAAATAAAAAACAAATGACATTATAAAAAAATGCATTAGAGAACTAAAGCTCCTTTAACACTGTTTGCAAACACATTTTTTCACCTGTGTCCTGGCTCATTCGCAGGTGGGAGAGGGAAGTTGTCACATATGCACCATCAATAACTTCAAATACTGAAAAGCCATGGATCTTTTTTTTTTGTACTTTTTACTTTTTGTTGCTTTACAAGAAAAGTACTATTTCTATTACATTTTTTTTAGAGGTCTAGGGCAATGGCCCAAAGATTAAAAACAAAAACAAAACAGAAAAAAAACCTAATATTGTGGTGTAGAACCAGAACAATATATAGTACACTTTTAGCTATTAAAATATGGTAGACAATGGTCGAAATGATGTAATATGCATTAGCGGCCTCTAAAACACTGGAATGGAATACCGTGACACCCAACGTTTATTACATGCTTCTTCAGTTTGTCTAAAATGTGAATATTTCATTAGTTTGTTTTCAACAATCATCCGACATGATTTAAAGCTAGGTGCTTTTCAATGAATAATTTTATGTCTGCAATAATTAAAGAACATTACAAAAAAAGACCAAACCAAAACAACAAAAAACAACTCCACACCCCCTTTTTTTCCTGAAGCTCATGTCACTCACCAAGCCACGCCTCACCTTTTTAAAGCCACACACACTTAGTCACAGATACTACAGTTGAGGAGGTCATGTAACACAAGAAGACATGCTCTGTTAATGCCCTACTGACTTTTTCATTGGCTTGCTTTATATTCATGGCCTAGAAGTGTTTCTCATACAAATTCTGACTTGCCATCGGTTGGTGATGGATTACATCACAGTCAAACTTGCATACCATTGTTTGTATCACGCCGCCTTAGGAATGCATCTTGAGGACCCCGTCTTCATTCTTCTCATTGCACAGCAAGTTTATGTTTTTGTATATAAATTCTTCCCATTAGTCGCCGTGTTGGTTTGTACCGTGTTCTGAAAGCGCAGTCTCCCATAGCGTCCCTCGCTGTTGTCAGCCTCCCATACTGACCGTGTGTGTGTGTCGTGTGTATGTGTGCAGCTGCCCGCAGACTTCAGCCGACTTCACCTGGCCGACGGCTTACACCCACAGGTGACGCACGTGTCCTCCAGTCACTCGGGGTGTAGTATCACCAGCGACTCCGGAAGCAGCAGCTTGTCTGATATTTATCAGGTGAGGCACGGGGGCAAAAAGAAAGCCCTCCCTCGGACAGTGTCCCCAACTGCTGCGTTGCTCAGCGTCCGTATTTTCTTTTCAATAACTAGATGTGACGGTAAGTACAATGTATGCAGACCTATTTGCAGTTTGCTATGAATTAATTCACCTATTTCTTTTGGGAGTTGGGGTGGGTAGAATCTCCCCCCTGCTATTCGCTCAGCTTGTCTCTGCATATATTTGTTCTTGGTAGTAAAGCCCAGGGTGGTTGGAAAGTAGTGACTGGTGGAAGCGCTGCAGCTTGGCAGAGAGACTTAAGATCCTTGAATGTCGAGGAGGAGTGAAGTTTGGCCCAGCTTGTTGTTACCGCCACATAGCGCAAAGGAAGATGTGTTGCCGTGGTTTGGTAAAACTTCTTGTCTTTGAATGATTTCCTGGTTGGTGTGTGCGTAAAGTTGATGGTGGGGTAAAGCAGAATGCGGGGCAAAGAGAAAATGTGTAGTTTTTTTACCCACAAATCTCACAAAATTGTTGGCAACAGAAGACCTCAAATGTATTTACCTTCACTGGCTTTACACAGAACTGCCAGAACAGCCATCCAAAGGTTGACACATCCAAAATATAACATGAGAGAAATAAGCCACAAATTGAGGAGATAAATGCTTTTCATTAAAAAGAGATGGATAGATCCCGCCTTCTGACAGTGAACGTGACAATGAAAAGCACATATGTCCAAACTCCACTCAGATCTGAATCACACTATAACATCAAACAAAGATACCGTAAATCACTTAATTGGACGCCAACAAATACATCAATTAGTTAAGTTGAAACATAAAGGCTCCCAACTTGTCAATGAAAAGCACCCTGAATCAAAGAAATAGCACTCAATCTGTGGCTTTACAATTTGGACAGTGACGAGGAGAATTTTTGAGTGAACCCTTCAGTTAACCTGATGGCGACAAACAACATGACAAAGAAAAGCATGTATCTCTAAACTTTGATGTTTAACATGTCGATACTCTCAAATAAGTATCTCACAAAATGCAGAGGTGTGTACTTTTCTGGCCATGGAGTGTTTCAAATGTCATTCAAATGTGTGAACTTTCAAAGGAAGATGTGAGCGCAACTGATGCAGCAGTTGAAATTGATGGATTAATGAAAGGCATTTTTAATAAAAGAACATAAAAAGTAGCATCCTCACCCCCGTGGGCGTAAATAAAACGGCTTAGAAGAGCGCAAAAGTCTTGCACCGGCTAATCCTCTTAATGCCAACGCATCTTAGCGTCGTCACATGCTTTCCGAGCTCCATTTCAAAGTCCACACCATCACTCGACATCAACCCTGTGCACGTGCGTGCGTGTGTTTTGACAGGCCGGTGTGTGACGGTGATCTGAAGGCCATCTGTCAAACACACACGCGCACACACACACACACTACAGAGTCACTTTGCGTTCCTTTATGTCTTAATGCTGCTTTTAATATCCAGGCTCCTCACTAGTTTTGATCTTACATTTGTGTAGCATTGTGGACCATTTTTTATATTTATTCAGTTTTTCCGTATTTTCCTCTTATTGTTTTTCATCTGTCATATTTTTGTTAAAATTTGATTTTTCTCTTTTAGTATTTTTTTCATTTTGTACTTACTATATTACCACAACATAAAATAGTGTCCTTATCTATTTGTGCAATATTTGCTTAGTTTTTGTCAAACATTTTGTATGTTTTTCTAATATGTAGTATTTTCACACTATTTTTCCAATGTTGATGTCCAATATTTAGTATTTTGTGCATGCGAGCTAAATTGTCTTTATCGTAATCAAATGTTGCCCTCGGCTGTATGCCAGCTAGGGCTTGAGTTTTCAAATAACTACTTTAGCTGAGAAAATGATCGATAGGTGACATGTAACTGCTGCTCTTAATCACCCCCTGACCCCTCAGTGGGTTTATTTTAAGAGCCCACAGTGGGGGGTTCCATTGCGTATTTGCACCGCAAACGGCATTAAGTGATGACTTGTTGTTTAAAGAACATAAGCCCACATTTACTTTTGCCAGCCTGCCCGTTCACAACAACACTCCCATTGGACAATGAACCTCATTGGCTATAAAAAGATTACACACCAGAAAGTCAGTGTCAAAATCTTAAGTTTATTTGGGTTAATTTGACACATTAAAATGGTGGCTGTATGCACTGACCCATATTTAACATCAGTTTGAATTTGATTAATTTACTCTGAACGCAGCTGCATCCCAGTGATGAGTCGGCGTGCACAATTTTGCAACCACGTTATCTCAGTCTCCTCAAATAGTTTTTACATTTTATTTAAATTGTTATCTTAAGAATGATCTTTTTTTCTTTTTTTTTTGTTCCTCATTTATTTTCTGGTCGTTCTTTGAAATTATATTTAAAGTTGTAGAAAAAATATTACTATTTTGGAAACATTCAACATATGTCAAGATAAAAGTCAAAATAATATAAGTAATTTTCCTAAGTTCAAGACTTTTTCAGATTTCCCATTTTTAATCTTGTGAATTTGCCTGCGGTTTCCTCTCAGATAAATACTTGACTCGTTTGGAATGATGTGTTGGATGCCGCGTGGTTTTTAATAAGTTTCTCTTGGGAGCTCATGAAGCGATTTTACTTCCTAGGAAGTGCTGACTTTAGAGGTTTTTGGATAGGAAGCTCTGAAAAGCTTAATTACCAACGAGAACCCGTTCTCATGGTCACAGTCAACAACATGACAGGACTGTGTGTGTGTGTGTGTGTGTGTGTGTGTGTGTGTGTGTGTGTGTGTGTGGGCGCGCGCGCGCGGTGCCTGAATAAATGATGACACTGGCCCTTCAAGCGGCCTTTGAAAGCATTGATCCAAGAATAGCGGTGATGAAATATTAACAGCAACTGACTTTTAATGGCCGCTGAATGTTTGTATGGATTTCGGATGACACAAAAGGCAACACATGGACGAGGGCGGCCTTTGTTTAAAGTCAGCAATGACTCGACATTTACACTCACTCTGATTTCTCCCCATTGTCGGCTCACTTGATTCTGAGTTTACAATTTAGGTTCAATTTTGTCTCCCAATTGTACCTCTGCTAGTTTGGATTTGTGCCATTTATCCGGCTGTTTTCATAGCTTTTATTAAGTATTTTAATATTGTCTATTTTTGCTTTATTCTATTTTTGTATGAATATTTGTCCTCAAATTTCCTCACATTTTTGTTAAATATTTGGGAAAAAAACTTTTTGTGTGTAGTGTAACAATTAATGTTTTTCTCCCAATTTAGTTTTTCTATTGTTCTTTGAGATATTTTTATAGAGTTTTTCTTCTTTTTGTATTTTTTAAATTGAATGAAATATTTTGAACATCATCATTGTTGTTTGTCCCTCATGTTTTGGCTTGTGCCATTCCATCGCGTTAGGAAATCCTTGACATATTTTTGTATAACACCGACAACCATAGACATAGTTTTTGCTTGAATCGTGATACACCGTTTTCATCTTTTAATCAAAACTCCTCACATGGGAGTTTTGAGCCCCGCCCACCGGTGGGTCCACGCCCAAATGTCCTTGCCGACCCCGTCTTGATGAATCATTAATGATCTGCTCCACTCTTGGCTCGCATTTGAGGCGAAGATGACACGAGAACACGCGTTGGGTCTCCAGTACTCAGTACTCTTCACCCTTAAAAGTGAATTGTGCCCACAATGCGTCTGGCTCTGGAGTTTTACAGGCATTTTTCCAAGACCACATTTTCTCCCCTAGCCAAAGAGGTGAGCTTGTGGAAGATGCTTTTGCACCTGCCGTTTTCCTCCACTATTTTGTTTTCCTGATAACGCCCAAGAAGGAGTAATTGCATCAGGGCTTTCAAAGAACGAGATGTTGCCAGCAGGCTTGGCGCTGACTTAGGGGCGAAGGAAGAGTTAATTAGCTTGTTCTGTGCGAGGCAGCCTGTTTGTCATGCAGCGCTAGAGCTGGTGTGTGGTTGTGTGCTGAGAAAGTGGTTGAAACACTTGAACTTTGGCCTGAATTTGTTGCTCTTGTTGGAAGCTGGAGCAAAACTGAGTTTTTGAGTTAATATTTTTGTCTTGTCTCTTGCCGTTTTTCGAAAATATTCAACATGATTGTCCTTTTTTTGTCCAATATTTGCATGTCAAATCGAACATTTTTTGCAAAATGTATTTATTGAATATATTGTTTCACCATTTGTTGGTGCGGTATTTCTTTGACCTATTTTTATGTACATTATCTTTTACATATTTAATTATTCTTATTTCTTATTTTACTTTTATAATATCTTTTTTCTCCTAATATTTTTTTCTTCTGCTAGTTAGTTTTTTTCCAATTTGTTCATTTTTCATAAAAGTGATTTTTTTAAAGTTGTTTTTGCATTCAATATTTTGGTCTTTTTTTGTAATTTTCTCGCAATCGTTGTACTTGTTTGTGTAGTTCTCTATTGTTTATATGTTTAAGATTTCTGTTGGAGGGCTTGCTAATGACCTTTTTGTCTAAAATTAAGTATTTTTTTATTATTGTTGCAAATTTATAAATATATGCACATTTTTGTCTAAAATGTTTTGTTTTCTAATATGTTATCATTTTTTATGTCTAATGTTTTGTGTAGTTTGGGTATAATATTTATGAAATATTGTATTTTTTATCAAATTTTTAGCATTTTTTGATTTGGTTATTTTTCAACAAATTTGCCATATTTTCAGGTGTTTCTTTAATTTTCAGCTATTATTCATGTGGTATTTTTACTGTACAATGTCGTATTCGGCACATACTCTGCATCGGAACTTTGCTTTAGATTAGAATTGTTGCTTGGTTCAACACCGTTGGTTAGCAATTTTTTTATTTATTAATTTGTTTTGGTTTGATTGGGTGAGCTGTTGGCAAGATAGCGCTTGACAGCGTTGGTGGTTCAGAACTTCAACTCCTCGTCCAAAATCCCAGTCAACTTTTAAAACCATGGCTATTTCTCCCTCTCACCCACCACCAATCATCCCCACCTCCCTTCCCCCCCCCTGTAGGCCACCGAGAACGAACCAGGCGACATGGACTTGAGCGGCCTGCCTGAGACGGCTGTCGACTCTGAAGAGGACGACGACGAGGAGGACATCGAGCGAGCGTCAGACCCACTCATGAGCCGGGACATTGTTCGAGACTGCCTGGAGAAGGACCCCATGGACAGGACGGACGATGACATAGGTGAGACGGCGCTCTATGTTGTTTGTGCTTTAAGCAAAAAAAAACCTCTACAAACGTGGTTCGTTTCATTCACTAGAAGAGAAAATCCAAGAAACCAAAGACGTTCGATGCTGTTTCCGACCACTAGACCGAAGGGTGTAGTATTGCTGTCTGCATTCATATTTTTCAGAGCAGTACAGGGCATTACCTATCCCCACACAGACCACATTCGGTAAGGCGCAGGGAATGTAATTGCCTCATGCGCTACGCACTCATCTACTCTGTAAACAAACACAGCATAGCACTGCCTCTGGCTAGCAGCTATTATGGCTGTACGGTGCTCTTATCTGAAATGTTATCACGCCAATGTGAATATCGGTGCAATACGAAAAAAGGATTATAGGATTTATACACGATTCTATTCTTTTTATTATCTATTTTGGACAACATTTTCTCACGGTATCTAATGTCTTGTTTGATAAATGGAGAATAGTATTGAATGTCTTGTTTGATAGAGAGTTATCGGAACTCAACTCCTTCAATTAAAAAAAAAGAGAGAAGCATGATGAGATAAGAGGCAATTTTTGAAATCAAGTGATTTTCATCAAGGTTATGTGCAAGCCTGAAAAACGTGATGTGTAGTGACGGAGGGTGATAAACATTTTTTTTTATATTGTAAAATGTACATTTGGATGTTTTGTGGGTTGGTCCATGACTTGTTGTAATTTGAGCGCAACTTTTACTTTTTTTTTTTTTTTTAAATCATCATGAAATACTTCAATAGGTCTAGTATCGTCATACATGAAATCATGTCCGGTGTATTGATTAAGTGACGTAAATGGGATGTGGGGGAACATTTTTCCCATAAACCTAACTGACAAAGTAATAGTTTTAGAAATAATCGTTAGTTGCAGCCCGACTATGAATGTTCCACTTTAGACAAACATCATTGAATTTTCTAAAAAAAAAGAAAAGCAATTTATGTTGCACTTTCCATAAGACAAACTATTTATATTGCACTTTCATGAAAACAAAGACGATTGATTTTATACTTCTATTAATTTTACACTCACCTAAAAAGATTGCAAACTGTGAATTGACTTTCTGATAATAGAGGACAGACATTTTCTGCCATACCTTCCTAAAAAGGTGTTGTGACCTAAAAAGAAAAACTATGAATGTCACACTTTCAAAAAAGAACACAAAACTCTAAATGTTGCACTTTACTTTTGCTGCCTTTTCTGTCAAAATGAATGACAAATCTCTTTCAGGTATTGTTTCATATTGTTGTCAAATATTTTTTAGAAATGAACGCCCTCCACGCCCCCTTCCAGTATTCTCAAACCTTCGCCAAACTTTTTCTGTATCATACTATCAAAGCTGTGGCTCCTCGATGTGTTTGAAGAGGCTTAATATTGACAAGAGGAGGAGGTTGATGCGTTGGCTGGAGTGAGAGGAAGAATGAGTGCCCTCTTCGTCCTCCTCCTCTTCCTCTTCCATCTCCACAGTTAATCTCCCCCACAGCAGTTTGCCCACCAGCCCTACCTCCCCTCCTCCATGCCAGCAGGCTTTTTCTAGGTCACTCCTGGCACATCGTGCAACCTCACCTCGCCAAGCGCATCAAACATTCAAACATTTCCTCCCGCACACACGAGACCTGCTTGTTGCAATGACGACCGTAGGGCACCCCAGGCATAATTCTGAATATTTGTGGATTACATATTAGGAGGATTTTCTAGTTGCGTGGCAGACAAAATCAGATGGTGAACAGTTAAATAGTTTTCAGGTTGCAATTACAAAAAAGTAGTATATTTTCCAAACTGAAATATGTATTTTTCAGAGTCAAAATTGCGTTAATAAAAAATCATTTTCAATAAATACCTATACATTTATTTTCAAGAAAAAGTATATTTTGGGGGAAAAAGGATTTTTGTTAGAATGAAGGGGTTTTTCCAATGAATTTGATATTTTAGATTAGATTAGATTAGATATCCTTTATTTGTCCCACACTGGGGAAATTTCCAGTCTACAGCAGCAAGATAATGGGAAGAAAGAAGAAAAGAAAACAAACACCGTTCAATTAAGTGCAATATAAATACAGATATGGATATGGTCGCAGTGCTATTTACAATTGTCTTCCACATCATGTTATTTTTTTATTCAGCAGCCTGACAGCAGTCGGTAGGAACGAGCGGCTGCTTTATATTTTCTGATATAAATGAGGTATTTTTTATATTTTCTGGAACAAAACCCTGGAATCTCGAGTTTAATTTTTTTTTTTTACTTTTTTTTTTTTTTTTTAACTTCAATGTTCTTTTTTTTTAAGAGTGCATAAACCAAACATATTCTTGTTTGGATGGCTGTATTTCTGTAGAAAAAGAAAGTAACCATATTTTTCAAAGCTAAAAAGTTGTATGTTATTTAGATTTGTCTTTTTTCTAGAAAGAAAATTAATAATTTTGCAAAAAAAAAGGGTATATATATGTTGAAAGCATTCAAATTACTATTTTTAATCATTTTCTGTTGCACGAATACCAATTAAAACAAATTGAAGTTGTTACGCTGTCAGATTTTATTTCATGGCCTTTTACAGATATTTAAAGTTTTTAACATGGTATTCTTTCCTTTTTTTGTCTTCTTTTAAAGTTATATAATATAACCTGAACTGTTTTGTCATCCACTGCTTACGTCCAAAAGTTAGCGTAGAGCCCTGCTGTGAGTAATATATTGTCTGTCTACACGTTTGGTGCAACAGCGTTTGTGTTCAAATATCGGTCTCTTAAAGGGCTAAAACGTCATGACAGATACAATTTTCATTAGCCCGTCTGTTGCCTTTTGTTAGCATTAAGCTAGTGCAGCTCGCGGGGTCTTTGAAAGTTTTAAGAACCTCTCCAGTAAACACACTCACGCTCTTCTCTCCCTCCTCCCGCAGAACAATTACTGGAGTTCATGCATCAGCTGCCAGCCTTTGCCAACATGACCATGTCGGTACGGCGTGAACTGTGCGCCGTCATGGTCTTCGCCGTGGTTGAGCGCGCCGGTACCATTGTTCTCAACGACGGCGAGGAGGTGCGTTGATTTTGTTTTCAAAAGAAAAAAGCTAACTGACTCTTGTTGTTCTTCGTCTCCCATTTCATGTATTATCCGCTCTATTTAAGATGAATGCAGGGCATCTCGTCCCGCCCTTTGGACCTCCTCGGGCGGCTGAAGCGAGACGCGTCTTTCAATGGCCACAGTTTTGCCCCACAATCGAACCGGGCGTTTTAGTCAGTTGGTTCACTGAACATGCTTTAACCACAGGAAGTAATAGAAATGTTCCATACTAGGGCAAACTGCCAACATGATAAAGTCCTCGGTAGCAGTGCAGCCCGTGTTGACTTGTAAGTCACATGTCATGCAAGTAAAAAATACAAAGTTATTCTTGTTAGACTGTGACTTTCTTTGTTGGAGTATTTTTCTTTCTCTCTCTCTCTCTCTCTCTCTCTCTCTCTCTCTCTCTCTCTCTCTCTCCCCCCCTCCCCCCACCTTTTCCGAAAAACAATGCCTTTTTTGCTGGAAAAAATACATGCTTGAAGATTAAGACGAGGTCCATATTTTCCACGTATTTTTATTGCTCTTTACTCATTCATCTTATGTATTGTCCCTTCAGCCACTCAATGGGTCAGCATTTAAATGCTGCATGTCACTATAGGTCGCTGGCATAGATAGATGAACAAAGATGCATGATATTTATTCACTCCATCTGACTGTTCTGACCAATGAAAGTAAAGTTTGTGAGGCTTGGAATCAGTTTGCCAGATTGTTTTCTTTGAATGAGTTAGCGTGTAGCATTAGTGATGCATTGGCATCTAATTATGTGACATGGTGTTGTGATTCCAGCTTGATTCTTGGTCAGTGATCTTGAACGGCTCGGTGGAGGTGACATACCCCGAGGGGCGCACGGAGATCCTGTGCATGGGCAACAGTTTCGGGGTGTCGCCGACTATGGAGAAGGAGTACATGAAGGGGGCCATGAAGACCAAAGTGGACGATTGCCAGGTAGCGTGTCCTTCACATGCCACAAAACACGTCCGTTACACGGCTGTTAGGCAGAGGTTGTTTGCTGCTAATGTTCTCACCCGGGCGTCTCATAACGGCACCCTGGGGGCCTCGATGTTGATGATTGTGATGCTCTTGGAGTTGAATTAATGAGCCGTTTTCAGGCAGCGTCTTTCGCGCATGGTCGGAATTACCACTGACTTATTTTGAAAGGATGAGTCATTAAAAGGAAGCTCGAGCAACAACAAAAGTGTCAAGATGGTGACATTAATTATCAAGGAAATATTGATGATGTTAAATGGTAGCATACACATTCAGTCTACATTCGACTCAAACGTAAGTTATCTAAAATTAGGCAGAATCTAGTGTAGACTGGAAAATAGATAAACTCGTTTTGCCACTCAAAGGGCTGGAAAAAAACAGATGGATGCGGATGCAGAAAAACATATCCAACTTCAGTAACTTCCTAGTATGTCACTTCCTGTTACAATCACCTGGCTGAGATTTGTGACCAAATAATGAACCCAACAGATCAAGAAAAAAAAACAAGTGTCAATATGGTTAAACATCAACAGAATAAGGATCGATATGGTGAAACACTAAGAAGAAAACACTGATGTTAAACCACCAAAAATGGCAATTTTTAGTGTTTATTTTAATTTTTAGTTAGATATCAGGAATAATTGTTTCTGGTTTGATGTTGAGGGAAAAAAATAAGTGTCAATGTTATCAATACAATAAATATGCATAGTTTAAATGTCAATGCAGTACCTTGATGAGGTGAGGTTAAACATCAAGAAAATCTGACTTGTTGTTTCGGATGTCTTTTTCGTAGTTTGTGTGCATAGCCCAGCAGGACTACTGCTGCATCCTGAACCAGGTGGAGAAGAACATGCAGAAGGTGGAGGAGGAAGGCGAGATCGTCATGGTCAAGGAACACCGAGAACTCGATCGAACTGGCACCAGGAAAGGACACATTGTCATCAAGGTGACCCCTGAGCATCACCACCATCATCGTATTCATTTCTGATTTGTTATATTTGTGTTATTTTTCCCCCCACCCTGTCATAACACTTCTTTGCTTGCTCCGGCACTTCAGGGCACTTCGGAGCGACTGACCATGCACCTGGTAGAGGAGCACTCAGTGGTGGACCCCACCTATATCGAAGACTTCCTTTTGACGTACAGGACCTTCCTGTCCAGCCCCATGGTGGTGGGCAAGAAGCTGCTGGAGTGGTTCCATGACCCCAGTCTCAGGGATAAGGTATGAAATCTCAAAATATCTCAATGCCTGCTTGCAGTTCAGTATTCAGTGACAATTACCATAATACCTTAACTCAGGACTGATCCAATTTAGGATTATATTGTTGTTGTTTTGAGGTTTTTTGTTTTGGTTTTGTTTTTGTTTTTTTACTTTTAATCCTAAATTTCATGCAAAAAAAATGTAACACTGAACGGCGCCGGTGAACTTAATAACTTAAAGTTAATGCTAACACACGATGCAAGTCACACAGCATCTGCTAACGAAACTAGGATCAACGTTGCAGTGGTATAACCCTTGTAGCAACGAAGTGTTTGAACGCAAATGTCAGCAACACATGTAGACAGACATTATAACAATACTCACCCACACACGCGCACGCACGCGCGCGCACACACACACGTTATCCTCTCCAAAGAACCAACTATTACTGCAGCTTAATGAGCCACATACAGTAATAGCTAAACTCTTCTTCCTGTACAATAATTGTCTATATTATTCTGCCCCCTAGTGGCCGAAAAGCACAAACCAAAAGTGGCACAATGCCAATGGGTGGTGAATCACAAACTGCTTCTCTTTAATTCTTTACATTGTATTAAATTATATTTTTACAGTATGTTTTTTATAAAGGACAATAATAGACTAGTGCTATTTTCCTACTTTTTCTTTGGGGAGGCTGGATTGGTTTAATGTCATTCATTTCATTTCAGTGGGAAAAGCATTGCTGTTAAAATGGCATTCATCTAAAGTTAATAGTTCATAAAAAGTTTTAAAATATCTATTTACATTGAGGAAAATAATGAGAAAATATTGCATTTTTAAATAAAAAATAGAATGAAAATAGTTTTGGGCAAATTTAAATTTTAAAATGTTTATCCAGTTTCAAATAAAAAAGACATCAAATACATTTTTGTGTTGGGGGGTCGGGCGGGGTGCAACAATCACGAAATCCAGGTGTAAAAATGCCGTATTGACCGGAATGGAAGACGATGTTTTTTTGCATTGAAATAAGACTGAAAAAGTGGGGGGTCGTCTTATATTCGGGGTCGAGACATTATACCCATTCATGACGCTAGATGGCGCAAGATATCATTGAAGCGAATACTGAACTTGACTCCCAAGGCCAAAGCGAACCCCTGTCACGAAGAATAAAATAAAAATAGTGGAAGCACGAAGAAGAAAAATTAAAAATAGCGGTAAGAAAGAAAAGAGAAGAAATTTATAGAAGAGAAAACAGAAAATGGAGAAACGTAGCGACAATCTGGAGAAAAGTGGGTCGAAGATCGGCCAGGTTAACCTGCAGCTGAGGAGAAGTTATCATGTAAACTTCAAGATGATGGTGATAAATGAGGCAGAGTCTTCAAACAATTGCAAAGCGGCTGTGAAATATGGTGTCACAGAGTGTAATGTACGGAGATGGAGAGCTCAAAAAGATCACCTAAAAAATGCTCACAGTCAGAGAAAAGCTTTCCGTGGTCCTCAGAGCGGCTGCTTCCAAGAACTTGACAGGAGGGTGTGCGCGTACGTGGACGAGAAACGAAAGGACGGGATGCCCATCAGCAGAGCTGTCATTCAGCTCAAGGCCATGAAAATAGCCAAAGAGCTAAACATAATGTGATTGCACTTCAGTTTACATAATTAAATGTTCAGATATTAAGATTTGAATTAGGCAAAATAACATGCTTTTTCTCTCAAATATATTGTTATAATCATTTGTTTCAGATGTACTGTAATTATTTTCTGTATAAAAATTAATTTGGTGTTCAAACTTGAGTCTTGAAAAAGAGGGGATCGTTTTATAATCAGGGCCGTCTTATATTCGGGCCAATACGGTAGTTTGGAAATTGTTTTAAAAATGGCACTTGAGATTAACAACATAGCCTAAATTCTTAGAAAAAAAGATGCTACGAAAATAAAACTCCCAAGGAATAAACAAAGTATTTTTTAGGTGGTAAAACAATTGAAATAAAAAAAAAGTGGAGGTGGCGGAAATGCATATTGAAAAAAAATACCTAGAAAATCAGTTTAAAAAAATGACAAAAATGAGCTGAAAAATTATTTATTGGTGTGTTTTAAAATTTTGCAAAATGTTTTTGCTCAGGTGACACGGGTGGTCTTGCTGTGGGTGAACAACCACTTCAACGACTTCGAGGGTGACGCCGCCATGACTCACTTTCTGGAGGAGTTTGAAAACAACCTGGAGAGAGAAGTGCGTTTAAAAAAAAAAAAAAAAAAAAAGTCAAATAACAATGAAGACGCACTGTCCTCACGTGCTTTCGTCTTCAGAAAATGTGCGGCCACCTGCGGCTATTGAACATCGCGTGCGCTGCCAAAGCCAAACCCCGCATGGTGACGCTGACGAAAGCGTCCAGGGAGGCTGACCTCGCCTTCAGCCTGCTGGGAGGACAAGACAAAGGCTTCAGGGTCTTCATCGACACTGTGGAGGCTGGGAGCAAGGCGGCAGAGGCAGGGCTCAAGAGAGGGGATCAGGTAAATGCCCACTTACTGCTAGTTACTTACACACGGCTTGCTCACCTCATGTAAATCCTCAACCATTTGATTGGCCTAGTCATACATCCTGTAACATTTTTATTTTAAGTCTGTTTAGTTTCTTCTTCATCGCTTGCCTTACTTACTCCATCCTGTTGTGTTAAATTTTTGTTTTTCACCACTTGCCTGACACATGCCGCTTGGTACACCCGTAGCTATTTGCCCAAGTTGTACATGGTCAACCTGAACAAATATTCGTGACTTTTTTTTTCAAGCCTTGTTTTCTTGAATTATTTTTTTCTTCACGGCTTGCCTGCCTCGCGCACACAGCTTGCTACACACTTGCTGTTTATAGAAACCTTCTGTTATCTTAAATTGGAATATTCTTAGTCTTAGCTACTACAATGGGCCTTTTTCCCCTTGGCTTTCTTCTTCACCACATGCCCGTCTCGTATGCACCTGCTCACTGCACCAGAAACCATTTAATTGGCCGAGTCAGACAGACAACTACAATTAATATTAACAACATTAAGATAGGCTTGCTTTTTTGAATTTTCTTTGTCAGTGCTTGCCAATCTCGCACACCCCTCACTCTATAAACAATCAAATTGGTTGAACCACATCAGAACATCCTGAAGTTATGTTAGCAGTATGTAAAGAATTTACTTTAGTTGATGCAACTTCAAAATACAATTGTTTAATGTGTACTGGTTTGAAAGTACCAACCAGATCTAATCCCGAATCCACCTTTTGAGGCCCATCTTTGATTAAACATAGTGTGCTAACAAGCCTCTTTAGCATCCCCTCAGACCACCCTGCGCTCCTCTCTGGCCAGTAAACACAGTAACAATGGCAATTAGACAACGAGCCTACACAGCAACTGCTCCCTGCCCAAGGATGAGCGTTCAGAGGCGGATGACTAAACTTCACCTCACCTAATAAGAACGTCGGGACCGACTCCCAGTGGAGCATGTTAGTTACTTACCGAGCAAAAATAGGAGCGTGAGTGGAAAGGACAGCTGCAGGGGATGTTTGGATTGGACGAGTCTTAACGTGGATTCAGACACTCTCAAAATGGGTTTCTAGGATTAAGGAGACTTTAGCTGGAAGCTCAGAACATCGGCAAGTGTGAAAAGGGCTTGTGAAGTCCAGATTTGAAAAGAAAGCCACCAAACTGACTGCAGCCACCACAGCTAGCTCAGTTAATTAAAAAAAAAAAAAAAGACAGCGAGAGAGATTTTTTTTCTTCCTACATCACAAGTCTTAACATTTTAATGTAAATAGTGTCTGGGAGATTTTGTTTACTCAACTGCAGATGGGGGAGACATCTCTTAGCAGGTAGGCTTTCATTTGTATGCATTTTTACGATAACGCTCACCAATGGAAGGTTTTTCCTGGCACAAACTGAGACAGATGTAGTTCATTCTTACGAAGTATTTGTATGCATTAATGTCCTTGAACATTTTATTTTTCTGAAGTCATAGACTAAAATTGTCTAAGACATTGGTGGTAGCAAAGAAAATCCTTCATTCGTTGGATCTTCTTTAGTTAGATGTGGTCGGTCGTCTTTCAATTTTGTATGCAGTGTGTGAGACAGGAAACCAGACAAGAGAAAAGTTGAGCTTGAAAATCACACATCCAAGCTTAAAAGTCGAAAGTCTATCTTTGAGTTCCTGGTCTTAACATGAGTGTTCCTTTGTCTTGTTTTTCTTGCTGTGAAGATCTTGGAGGTGAATGGGCAGAACTTTGAGAATGTCCAACTCAGTAAAGCCAATGAGATACTGAAGAACAACACGCACTTGTCCATAACTGTGAAAACCAACCTTTTAGGTAAAACACTCATGCACACACACACACAATCCATTTTGCTTTTTCATTTGCTGCGTTTTGGATAGTCCTCATCTCAGGAGGCTGTAATGCATATGCATACCAGGAGGAAGCTTTTTGCATCCAAACATATGATCAATTTAAGATTTTTTTTTCTCACTAATCGATACTATTGATATGTCCCAATGACATCTGTTGTTTTTACGCATTAATAACCAATTTAAGGTGTGTGTGTATGTGTATGTGTATGTGTATGTGTATGTGTGCGTGTGAGAGAGAGAGAGAACAATCTATTAACTGTTTCAGAGAATTGTAAAATCTCTACCTCATGCCTTTTGGCACTTTGTCGCCTCAAGATTGAAAGTCTGGGTGTTGGCAACCCAAAATATTGAAAGAGCCATATTGGACAAAAACAAAAAACAAATATGTCTGGAGTCACAAAAAAATTAAAAGCATGGTGTATGGATCTATATTAGCTATCTTATCTTGCTATCAAAATGACTAAGTTGGCTACAAATACACAATGAGCCTCCATGATTAAATGTTTTTTTTCCCCCTGCAGTGCATTCGTTAGAGCAGCTGTGCCCAACCTTTTTCGACCAAAGATCTACTTTTCAGTCAACAGCCTCCCGAGATTGACCCGTAACCGCATGCGCGCATATGCACTCACTTAGACACGCATGCCATCATGAGCAACAGCCAAAACGACCCCTAAGATGAACGAGGCATGGGACGTACTTTTGTGGCATGTTAACTATCGTAGCTCACGTGTGCCATTTAAAAATGTTTCTCTTGGCCCTCCAGATTCCCATTCTTTGCCAGTACCCTTGGTGAATTGTTCATGAAACGCCGTTTTTTTTTTGTTTTTTTTTAATAAATAACAGCCCCTTTTTTTTTTTTTGTTTTTTTTTTAATAAACAACAGCCCTAGCATCCCGTCCTGCTAATAGAAACGTGTGTCGCAGGCTATGACGCAAATCTTCGTTGACAGAAATATTTACATTTAATATTTATTCTACACAGTTTTACAGCATTGGAAAACATTAAGAATGTTTGTGTCATGTTTGTCCTCCTACAGTATCCATATTAAAACAAAAAATATATTTCTCTCCCCGATCTTTTTCCATTTTCAAACATTTTGGAAAAACTCCAGGGAGCCACTAGGACGGCGCTAAAGAGCCGCATGTGGCTCCAGAGCCACAGGTTGCCGGCCCCTGTTTTAGACAATACAGAGTGAAAATGGTTCAGCTAAATGTATTTGAGTAAACCTGTTTAGTTAAATGGAGAACTGTAATTAGGGATTAGCGAGTACCTAAACAGGCCGATACCGGCCTTATTTAATGTGTTGGATATCAAAGAAGCTGCCGATACCAAGGCACCAGTACAAAGGGTCAAAAAAAATACGTCAAGGTGGTTTGTTTGTGTAGACTAATTTATCTACGCAATGCAGTCATTGATGTAACATGGGTTCATGATTGTGTATATTCTAGAAAGTATGGTTAATTTTAAATATTTTGCCATCATCTTTCCTCTTTTCACAGTTGGTTCCCTATTTCCTCCAAACAATGGGGGTTTACGATCTACTTGTTTGACAATTCGCAAAACTGTCCAACAAACCTGTGGCAAATGCCACAATTTCATTTCACAATAACACCCAAAACCGGCTGGCCAATTGTAGGCGGAGGCAACCAGTTGAGTAGCATAATCACAGCATATTTTACCCACCCCCCTGTAGTGTTTAAAGAGCTGCTAACCAGGCCCGAGCAGGAGCTCCACAGCGACGTCGACGGTGAAGACGAGCATGACCGGAAGAATGGCGCGCCACACCTGCCCAAGATCGGCGACATCAAAAAAGCCAGCCGCTACTCCATACCTGACCTGGCTGTCGATGTGGAGCAAGTGATGGGCCTGGAGAAGGCCAGCAAGAAGGTCAAGAGCAACTCGGTGGGCGGACGCAACAAGCTCAAGAAAATCTTTGACAAGACGCTCACCAGCATCCTGCCTCCCAAACCTTACAAGTACGTGGGGCATGGTGTTTTTTTTTTTTGTTTTTTTTAACTTGGATCGCAAACATCCAAAACATTCACTCACTCATTCATTCATCTTCCGAACCGCTTCATCCTCACTAGGCTCGCAGGGGGTGCTGGAGCCTATCCCAGCTGTCTTTGGGCAGTAGGCAGGGGGCACCCTGAACCCGCTGCCAGCCAATCAATCGCAGGGCACACAGAAACGAACAACCATTCGCGCACAAACTCACACCTAGGGACAACTTGGAGTGTTCAATCAGCCTGCCATGCATGTTTTTGGAATGTGGGAGGAAACGGGAGGACCCAGAGAAAACTTCCACGCAAGCATGGGGAGACCATGGAAACTCTACGCATGAAGGCCGGAGCTGGAATTGAACATCTGCACTGTGCAGTCGACGTGCTAACCACTCGACTACCAGGCCGCCCCATCCAAAACATGAAAACTTAAAAACAACAACAAAAATACGATAACATTACACAGCAGCTTCTCCTCGGGAATTCAGCCAAATAAGCATCAATCAAAAGCCTGTGCCTTAGTCAGATGGGCTTCACAAAATGTTTAATTCATTTGTATTACGTTTCGTTTACCTTATGTTTTGGTTACATTGGTGTAGTTTCTCTTTCATTCACGCTGTTTTGGTTACATTCCATTTTTTTTAATGCTACATTTAGTGCACAAAAATCTTTTTTATGATTTTCACTGAAAAAAGCAACTTAAAATAGCCATTATTATTGTCATTATTATCCCAAAAATTTGTTTAATCTTCTGGAGAAGACATTAAATACGACTAATCACTAAGTTGTCAACACTGACTGTGTTTTTGTATCCAGCAAGTACGGAAGCTGTCAAAAAAGAAATAAAATAAATACAACTATCGATTAATCAGCCAGTTCTGCCTTTCATTTTCTTCCTTCTGTTTTGTTGACGTTGAATTGCATTTAAGTTTTGCCGTCTTTCTGCTGATTTCATTCCTGGATTCCACGTTATGCTTCAATGTAGCGTTGCGTTGGATTTTTCTCGCTTTTTCTATGTTTTAATTAACGCTGAAGTACATTTCACTTTTTTTAGAGTTTGGTCAGTTGGACTATTCATTTACGCTTTGTTAACAGTTGCATTTAATTAATGTAACTTTGCATCTGTTTCCTGCAGCGACGTGTGCGTGGGCCAGTCGCAGGATGACAGCATCGTGGGCATGAAGCAGTCCAAGCAGATCCCACCGGCGCTGCCCGTCAGCGGCAACCTATCCTCGTCCAACCCCGACCTGCTCCAGTCCCACCACCGCATCCTCGACTTTAACAACCAGCCTGGTGAGTCTTATCGTCGCGAATGCCTCTTGACTTTTAAAAATAGCTCATCTGATATTTACCAACACGTTATTTGTGTCCTTCCAGTGCCGGTCAACCTAAGTGAGTACTTTGTGTACCCCGCGATACCTTCCTTTACCTTGGGCACAATTGCACCTTTGACGGTCATTAGTGGTTATTGCTAATTTACAGTAAAGACAGTGTGTTCACTGGGACTAATCGAGTTAAGCACCAACCTCTGTCTCCTGTGGGTGTTTTTTGGCATCTTATTAATTACACTAATCTATTGAATCACATGGAATGCTTCGATTCTGGTGGAGGGCAAACATTTTCTTTGCTTGGATGGTCGTAATGACATGCATGAATCCAAATATATTGAGTCTTCATTTATTGCTATAGTTGTGGTCCAGATTCACATGAATTGGTGAAAATACGCCATGTAAAGAATTGTCTGATTTGAGTTTCATTTGCACCAGTTTTGTTAATTTATGATTACAGTGGGTCACATTTACGTTTTAATCATGTTATGTTCATGTTGTCGTATTTAATCACGTTTTATGCATTATTTGGTTCCACGATGTGTTATTAACTATTTCGTTGTGCACTACCTTACGTAAGATTCCTTTAGTTTTGTTGTTGTTTTTTTTTTTTTTTTTTAAGACATTGCATTACGATTTCTACCATAGCCTGTTTACTTAGCCAACAAGCTTAAATGAACCTCACCCGATGCTGGTAACGTATGTCCATGATATGAAAAATCTGAATCTCTCTCTCTCTGCAGATATGTCCGATCAGGTGCTGCGGGTTTTTAAGGCAGACCAGCAGTCGCGTTACATTATGATCGGCAAGGACACCACGGCCAAGGAGGTGGTGGCCCAGGCCATCCGTGAGTTTGCTCTGACGGCCGCACCCGAGGCCTACTCGCTGTGCGAGGTGTCGGTCACACCTGAGGGTGTCATTAAGCAGAGGCGGCTGCCCGACCAGCTCTCCAAGCTGGCAGACAGGATACAGCTGAGCGGCAGGTATATACTTGCCCAGGCCGTTGCGTATGTGTTGTATTTATTATAGCTGTTTAGCACACAATTTCTTCTGTTGTTGTTTTTGTATTACCAAAAAGGGGTGTACATCGGTTTAGTTTATTTATTTTCCCCCTCCACAAAATTGAATAAGAAATATAAAAAAATTGCACAGATTTTATATTTTTAAAAAGGCATGTATCGCCTCATATATTTCTAATGTGTACTTTTTATCTCAACGAAAGAAATTAACATTTTGATGAGCTATTTCCTAAAGTATGTCTCAATCAAATTAAATGTAGATATTATTTTTTTAATCCAAAACACCTTTTTTTCCCAAATAGAAAGGGGGGGAGGATTACTATTTGAACCAAAAAATAAGGATGTCCTACATGTTATCATTTTTTTTTCTCTCTTAATCCAAAACACATTTGGTGTGTCTTTGTTACGCGCAATTAAATATTTAAGAAAATTCAGGTGGGAATTAAAAAAAAAAGGAGTGGTGGGGGTTGACAGAGGCAAGACTCAAATCTTTTTCAGAATTTGTTTTGTTTGTCAAGTTACATTTAGGTAGCCCTTAGTCACAGAAAAGTCTCAGAAGGTCTTCACATCCCCGCAGTTGACAAATATGATCAACATCCTTTGATCTTAACCCACGGGAGGACAAGGAAAGAACATCTTCGGAAAAATGTAAACCTTGAGAGTTTGAATCATGAAAAAAATAATTTCGGATAGTAATGGGGAGAAAAAAAATTACATTCGGACAAAAAAGAAATCGCCTGAAAATTGTTATCACTACATTAAACATGAAAACGTAATTAAATCATTGTATTTGGGTGCGGGGGTGGGGGCTGAAACATTAAAAAAAATCTTTAGGGGTTTTGGCTAAAAATGGGGGAGGCGAGTGGGTGTTGGAAATAACAGTTTTGAGGGAAAGCATCCATCTTCTCAAGTTAGCTTTTGTTCTTTTTTTTCCTTATCTAAAACACAAAAACTAAAAAAAACATGAGGCCGATTATATGACCTAATCTTTGGAATAAAAGGTATTAAATTCATGTATCTCCTCGGTTTCTTTTTTTTTTGGGGGGGTAGACAGAGATAAGACAATATTTGTGTTTTCTCACAACCAAACAGGTACTACCTGAAGAGCAACATGGAGACGGAGACACTGTGCTCGGACGAGGATGCCCAGGACCTCCTCCGCGAGGGCCAGATTTCTCTGCTGCAGCTCAGCACAGTGGAGGTGGCCACACAGCTGTCCATGCGCGCCTTCCAACTCTTCTGCGCCATCGAGCCCACCGAGTACATCGACGACCTGTTCAAGTTGCGCCCCAGGTCATGCGCCGCCGCCAGCCTCAAGCGATTCGAGGAGGCCATCAACCACGAGACCTTCTGGGTGGCCACCGAGGTCACACGGGAGCCCAACCAGCTCAAGCGCATGAAGACCGTCAAGCACTTCATCAAGATTGCACTGCACTGCCGCGAGTGCAAGAATTTCAACTCCATGTTTGCCATCATCAGGTGAGATGTGCACCGTGGCCTGGTTTTGGCAGCTAGTTGCTTAGTTAGCTAGTTGCTTAGGTAATTTTTATTTGGTTTGTTGGTTACTCTGTCCGTCAATAAGGTAGTTGCTTGTTTCGTTTTTTGCTTTGGTGTTCGCTCTGTCGGATTGTCAACCTGTCTCTTTGTTGATTAGTTAGTCTCTCGGTTAATCTATGTGCTTAGTTAGGTGGGCGAGTGGTCCAATTGGTTATTTGCTCAGTTGGGTGGTTAGTTGGTCAGTTAGTCAGTTGCTTGTATGGTAAAATGTCACTGAAATTGCTTAGTTACTTTGTCACTTTATTGCTTTTTTATTTGGTTGTTCAGGTATTTATTTACTCACCTCCATAGTTATTTAGTCAGTCACTTCGGTACGTGGTTGTCTGGTTGGTTAATTAGTCACTCAGTTGCTCACTCAGTTTTTAGTAATTGCTTGGTTGGATGGCTTTGGTTGTTAGCTACTTAGGTGGTAGGTCTTTTTATTTTTTTCTGCTGATTAGTTTACTTGATCACTGGGTAGTTAGTCGCTTAGATGGGTGGTTGTACAATTATTTAATTAGTTACCTGCAGTTGGCTGGTCATTTTTTTCTTTTTTTGGTTAGTTGCTACAGTTGTTGGTTGTCTGGTTGGTTGGGTACTTAGTTGCATTTTTTTAAGTTACATAGTTGGTTAACATGGGTTAATTAGTCACTGATGTAGTTCATTGGTTGGTCAGTTAATTGGTCACTTGATTTAGTTAAGCTATGTAGTGGGTGGGTCAATTTATGTCAGTCAATCTCATGGTTGCTGGCTTAGGTTATAGTCACTTCGGTAACATGGCTGGTTATTCAGTTACTTAGTCACTTGGTTAAGTTAGTCTCTTGGTGGGTTAAGTTACGGTGTTTGGTGAGGTAGTAAGTCCCATACAGTACCTAAGCAGTTCATTTAGTTAGTTGTCTGGCTATATAGCTCCTTAGTTACTTAGTCGCTATGTTTTTATATCAGTTGGTTTTTAGTCTCTTGTTTGGCTTAAGATTGTTAAGCAGTTAATTGGTATTTGGTTGGTTGGTTGGTCAGTTAATTTTTTTTTGTTTAGGTTGTTGGTTGACTGTTTTAGTTGCTCCAGTAGTTATCAGTGATGTGTTCCTCGAGCCGGTCCTTGGCCTCGAGGACCGGCTCGAGGACCGAAGGTCGGTCCTTGGTCCTTGGCCTTGGCCTCAGAAGTCAAGTCCTTGGCCTTGGCCTTGGCCTTGGCCTTGGCCTTGGGAGTCAAGTCCTTGGCCTTGGCCTCGGATTGCCGGTCCTCGGACACAATGAGGGATTAGAGCCTCGAATCCCTTGTCCACAGATATAAAGTGAATCCGAGTACCGCCAAAATCACGAAGGAATCAAATAAATTCCATTCAGGGAAACCAATATTGATAGATTGAGCTGGCGCTTTAAAAGGGGCGGGTCTGCCACTGACAGGTAACAGTTAGCGCAACGAATAAAGAGCGGCATCACAGTTAGTTTCAATCACGGTTTGTTCCGTTCGCGATCGGCAGTTTAAATAGCGTGTAAAGTCTTTCTGTAACAGTGGTGTCTTTTATGTAGTTATTTTTGCACAGTCGTCACGTTTGTGCG